CCTGGAACTCGGCTATGGTCTCTGAAGGCGTCCGTAGACGCTGTTGAGGGGGATGAGTCGAAGCTCGCCGATATCCCCGTGGGAATCCCGTGGGGAGGCTTCCTAAGGTAAGCCACTGCCGCCATAGGTACATGCTTGTTGACACTGAACGAACACCTACCGCCAATATGTTTCCATCTGCGTTTTGTCTTATTCATACTAATAAATCCAGATGGTTTGCCCTCATTCGTATCTGGACACCTTGGCTGGCTCCTCGGCATGGAAGGGATTCATTCCGGCTGGATAAAGACGGCGTGCTCTGTGCCTTCTTAAGCACTAGGGGCAAGCATTTGGTCTTTCTGGCTGTCAGTGGCGCTAACAACGTTCTCTCTGTGTTCCGCAACAATGAGTCCGGGCAGCTTATTGTCCATGTACGTGATGAATCGCTTGGCCAGTGCCACCCCCACACACTTACAGCATACAGGCTCGTAATGATGGCACAAACTCGGAACCAGCCATCATTCTAGCCGCAGTAGGCGACAGCTTTGAGAGTGCAAACGCTGCGGTCATGTATCAAGCTCGAAACTATATTCTCCAAGTGAAGAAGGCAAGCAACGAGCTATTGGCGGAATTGAAGGCTCTTAAGGAAGGTGTGAAACCAGAATGGATGGAGAACTGGTATGATGGTCTGGGTTACTGTAAGTCGCATGGTTTTCCGTGCCTTCTCTCGGCCACCGCCGGCCCACCTTGGCTTATGCGAAAAACCAGGCACTTGGAATGCTCTCGGACAGCGCCTTACCGACGAAAAGGTGTTTGATGCTGTTGACAAGCTTGCAGAGAACAACATCAAGGTCACGAGCCTCATCATTGACGACAACTGGCAAAGCATCGACTACAAAGGACATGGCCAGTTCCAGCATGGCTGGGTCGAGTTCGAGGCTGAACCAAAGGCATTCCCCAAGGGTTTGAAAGCTACAGTATCGCACATCCGGCAGAAGCATCCTCACATTCAACACATTGCTGTGTGGCATGCTCTATTAGGTTTGCTTTCAGACTCCAACTCAAAGAACAAGCACAACTGACAGTGCCAGGCTACTGGGCGGGTGTCTCGCCTGATGGTAAGATTGCACAACAATACAAAACCATAGATGTTGTCCGAGAAGACGCCGAGAGACGGAACCTGCCCCTCGGAGGCAAGATGACAGTCGTGGCCAAGGAGGACGTGGACAAGTTCTATAACGACTTTTATCAGTTCTTGCTCGACTGCGGTATAGACGGCGTGAAGACCGACGCCCAGTTCATGACTGATACATGGGTCTCGGCGAGTGCCCGTCGCGAACTGATTGATGCCTACCTCGACGCGTGGACGATAGCCTCGCTGCGGCACTTCAGCATCAAGACTATATCATGTATGTCGCAGACGCCGCAGATCATGTTCTACAACCAGATGCCGCGCAACCGGCCGGCCATCCTCTGCCGCAACTCGGATGACTTCTTCCCCGAGATCCCCGCCTCGCACCCCTGGCACGTCTGGACCAACGCGCACAACAGCTTGTTCACGCAGCACCTCAACATCCTGCCCGATTGGGACATGTTCCAGACCGTGCATGACTACTCAGGCTTCCACGCCGCGGCTCGCTGTGTCAGCGGAGGACCGATCTACATCACTGACGTTCCCGGGCAGCACAACTTGGACCTGATCAAGCAGATGACAGGCCCAACGATCCGCGGCAAGACTGTCATCTTCCGGCCCAGCGTGGTGGGGAAGACCATAGACCCTTACACAGGATACGACGATGATGGGCTGCTCAAGGTTGGAAGCTACCACGGCGCCGCCGTCACGGGTACCCCGATCCTCGGCGTATTCAACATCTCGGCCCGACCTCTGACGGAGATCATCCCCCTCACCTCCTTCTCCGGAGTTTTGCGCTCCATGCGCTACGTTGTCCGAGCCCACTCTACTGGAAAAGTCAGCCCGCCCGTCTCTTCTGGCTCCCCTGCATCCGCTCTGACAGTGTCCCTGGATGTCCGCGGATACGACATCTTCACCGCCTACCCGCTCTCCGGCTTTGACAGCGAGGTGAAAGGCAAGGTCTGGACCGCCAACCTGGGCCTGGTGGGCAAGATGACGGGCGCGGCTGCCATACTCAATAGCGATTTCATGCTGCGACATGACGGAAAGGTTGAGCTCAAGACTCGTCTCAAGGCGCTCGGCGTCCTCGGTATGAACAATTATCGTCTCTTGACCAAAGGCATTGCGCTAACACGGTCTTAAATAACAGGTGTCTACATTTCCAAGCTGCCGGAACTGACGATAGAGGACGACTTCCTCGTCACCATCCAAAACCAAGTGATCCCCGTCCACACCGTGTCCATCAGCAAGGGCAACGGCTCTGTCATCGAGATTGACATTGAGAAGGCTTGGCAGGAAATGGGTCTGCATCCTGGTTGGAGCAACGAGGTTGAGATGACGGTCATCTTTGCGATTGATCACGAAGAGGCGGCGTAAACATAAGTACTCGACGCATGGAGCTCACGAACGGTTGGAACCAAGATTCATAGGACTTGTCACGAGGATAAAGCTGCCAACGTGTTTCGCTGATTACAGTCTTTTCCGTGGCACTCGAATTCGTAACACAAAGTCTCCTCGTTAGTTGGGGTTGATGAAAACCCTACTACTGCTTCTTGTGCGGCTCCAGGTTCAACCTCTTTGCCTCCAAAGACACGAGCTCGGGGATGTCCTCCTGCAGACTCTTCTCCTTGGCATCCCACCCAAAGTACTTGCGCGCTCGCTCCGCCTTGCTCTTCGAGTTCAGCCCCCAGCTATTGTTGGAGACCCCATCGCACTGCAGCGCCTCCTTCATGGTCACCTCCTTGGTCAGCGGCGCGGGCAGATACCCCTGTCTATGGGCCTCCTCGGCGATCTGCTTAGCGATCTCGCTCCAGACGTGCGTGCCGCTCTCGACGAAGTAGTACGCCCGAGGCCCGAAGATCTCCGGGTCGGCGTTCTTGGCCCCGTCCTGGGTGGCCTCGACGAGTGTCACGAAGAACCGCGCGAGGTCGTGCACGTGGACGTTGTCCCACTCCGTCTTGCCCGGCGAGATGATGGGCGCGAAACCCTTCTCGAGGGTGGCCTGCGCGAGCGCCGGCACCTGGATCGAGCGATGGTTTATCGGCCCGCGGCCGGAGCCGTAGATAGTGGGCGGGGCAACGACGGCGATACGCACGGCAGGGGAGTTCGCGGCGAGCACAATCTTGTCAACGTTGCGGTGGAGGGCCTCGTCCGGGAAGTTGAGGATACGGTCAATGTCGCGGATATCGTGGTATTCCTGTTCCGGGAGGGGGGCCTCGCCATAGCGCTTGTGCTTGTCATCGTACTGGACACATGGGGTGTTAGGCAGCGCTTTCTTTGGGAAGAGAGCAAAGGACTGACCCATTGCAGCATACCGGTGCCTGATACGTGAATCCAGAAGCCGGGTTTGTCAGGGGAGTGGCCCGCGGCCAGGCCTTTCGCGATGGCTTTCGCCGAGGGCTCATCGTCCGCGGAATCGGCGGTGTCTAAGCGGTTTTGGCAGGTTAGCTGTCAAATGCTCATGCAAGGCCCCAGGTATCCAACGCAATCCTGTTTTCCGCAAGAGGCACAGAAACGTCTAGGGGTGAAAACGTACGGACAACAACATCTGCAACCGCGGCTTCCTTTTCGATGACGTCCGCGTCGTCCAGGGACCCGATCACGATCCGGACCTTGGGGTAAGCCTGCCTCACGGGAGCGGCGCGCTCCTCGTTACGCACGAGGAGGGAGTACTCGTACTCTGGATGCTTCTCGTAAAGGGCATAGAAGGCGTCGCCGCCGATGTAACCTGTTTGGCAAGCAAGGTAAGCTTTGGCTTGGAGAGGGACGGATACGAGGCTGCCCTTTCATACCGGTCACACCCGTACTGAAGTTTCTGTCAGTTATGATCTCGTGTCTTCAAGTTGGAAACGGTACTCACTGGAAGATCTTGAGGGTCATCTTGAAAACGCGTGGGGGGTCTTGCTCTGCTGGATTTTTGACAAGTAGCTTAGAACGCTCTATACCTATACATCCAACGAATACGATGTCAAAGTGCCGCCTGTTTTTATACACAAGAAACCCCCTTCTTGCTGAACATCGAGATTCAAATGGCTCCCCGAAGCTTATTAATTCAAAAGGCGGTCATGAACGAAGGTGGGGTTATTACCAAATAGAAGTGACATCACGCCTATATTCCTAGGTTACCCCTCGAACTCCCTCGAAAACCCTCGAAGCCCCTCCGCATTCATATAACCCCTTTGTTGGACGCTTTGGTTTGTCGTTAAGACTTGTCCAAGGTTGTACATGCCGGGTGGCAGGTGTCCTATGTAGACACGGGTTTACGGTTCGCAGTTGCCCTTACCCAATCGGCTCTCCTCCGCAAATTCCAGTATAACGAGATAGGCCACTACTCACGGAGTTAGCAGGCGGTAAGAAATTCCAATACACACACTGATTAACATAAACCTTGGGTGGGGTTTGTTTAAAAGACACAAGAGAAAGGGGCCCCCTTGGTCGTCACTGATGCCGCGGCGCAAACCCACGCCGCCTCCTCTGAGCAGATAATGCCTTCACAGTCTGGATTCTCGACGCTTGAATGCCCTCAAAGACGTCGTCGTTTACCACCTCAATCCAATCATACAACCGCAATAGCAATACATCAAGTACTCAGGCAGCACCAGGTACTAAAGGTACAAGATACTTACACACGGCAGGTACAGTGAACCGGCTGCTGCAATGTCTCAGGCACATGTCCATGCAGCATTTGAGTCCAGACTTGCATTTGATACCGGTCACATTTGGAAGCAGACACGCAATCGTGTCGGTAAACCGGAATCGACCTTTCTTCTCATTTTTTTAAACCGAAAAAGAAAAAGAAAAAACCTTCAGGGCGCCCCGAGTTGTTAAGACCCAGCGTCGCGTACATCAACTCAATTTTTGAAAAGTTCCTTTTCATCTCATCATCTGGATTTGTTGCCTTTGTCAATCAGTATGCCATCCAACCTTTAGTTTTGATATTCCTTAACGCCGACGCGGTATCATCTTTCGAGCGTTTCCTTGTGGAAAGGAGCCGAAATGAAGTTAAATATCAACCATTCCACCCCCTGGAAACCCGAGGCCGAGTCGTTTCACGGTAGGCATCTATATACCGTCGCATGCCCAGGTCGTTCCGACTTTGTCGAATAGAGACGGTAGCCCTGTTTACCAACAGTGGATGCGGTTGTTCGGATATGTGTATAGGGCCGACGGGGCCGCCATCCGAACAGAAAGCGGTTTATGCGTCTTCGAGGAGGATGATGGTTTTGGTGTCTCCGAGCTTCTCGCGGCCATTCAAGCCAGGGATCTCGAGGATGAAAAGGTAGCCGATAATGTCACCACCCAGCTTCTTGACGAGGTCTGCCGCCGCCTTCGCGGAGCCGCCTGGTTGATGTTAGTGGGATATAAAATTATCGGCACGAGGAGCACTGAAGGGCTGCGTGATGCTCAAGCTTACCGGTGGCAATGATGTCGTCAACAATCAGAACCTTCTGGCCAGGCTTGATAGCGTCCTCCTGCATCTGGAAGAAGTCGGAGCCGTATTCCTTTTGATACTCGGCGGTGACGCACGGGCCGGGGAGCTTGCCCTGCTTGCGAACCGGGGCAAAGCCGGTACCGAGACGGAGGGCCATGCCGGGACCGAAGAGGAAACCGCGGGCGTCAAGTCCGACGATCACGTCGGGCAGGGTCTGGAAACCCTCCTTGACCTGCAACTCCAGGACTTCGCCGAGAGCCTGGTGGACGGTGGGGTCGAGGAAGAGAGGCATGATGTCGACAAAGTCGATGCCCTTGATGGGGAAGTCGGCAAAGTGACGCAGAGCGCCCTTGAGCCTCACCTTCCCACTGGTGAGTTCGGAGGAGGGGGCGGAGGAGGAGGCGGGCTGTCGTCCCTGGGCATCTTGAGGGTTGATGGGATGGGCGGCCAGAGGGTTGATTGGTGCCTGAGAGGCGTCGGTTGAAACGGGGGTTTGTTCGGTGGACATTGTGAAGAGAGAAGAGGGGGGAGGAGGAGGGTTAAGAAGGTCTACTGGGAGTGTTGGGAAAAGTGATATTACGAGTTGTATCTAAGTTGGCAGAAGAAATTTTTGGGGTCGAATCCCGGAGAGTCGATAGAGACAGTGAGAAGAGGGGTGTGGGACACGACAACACTGGCTAGCGAGCTAAGGTTGGCGGTGGTGGTAGACAAGGTGCTCCAGGTACGTGCGGACTGCATTGTATACTGCTACAACTACGGAGTTACTAGGTACCAGTTCCTTGCACAGTACTCTGGCTGAGGGGGACGCTCGGGGAGGGAGGTGCGTGTCCCGGTCCGATTGAGGTGTGTAAGGAACGACCATGGGGAGTCAGAGTGGCAGGCTAGCACAGCTCGGCTTGCCGGACTGGAGGGTGGGACAAGGCAAAAAGCACGAAAGCAGGCTGGCATATGGCACGCAGAAGGGATACGGTCCAGGATCACGAAGGTAGGTTGCAGAGCCGGGGAGGGAGTAGGGCGGGGGGGCAAAAGAAAAAAAAAGGTGGAGGACAGAGAGAGAGAGAGAGAGAGAGAGAGAGAGAGAGAGAGAGAACTACATGTGAGAATGAATACGCGCCATCGATTAGGGAGTGGAGAGTGGTGATACGGGTAGGGTGTCACTACTTGTGGTGCGAAGTGGGCAGGTCGATTTGATGTATGGTCCGCCGCGAAAATGACAGCGACGAGGGACCATGGCTGACCCGGTCGCAGCAAGACCTGCTAGGAATAGGTCCGGGGCTTCTCAGATAGGATGCTGCTCTTCCATTATGTTTGCTTTCCTTTCCCTTGCGTCTCCCGAACACTCTCGTGGCCGCCTTGATTGCCGCTCAACTTTATTTGGCCTGTCGTTTTGTGTCAGGAGATAGAACTCGGAGCAGGGATAATTAGGCAGGCTCTCCAACATCAGGTTGTTCCTGTTTCTCACTTTCCTTCTCATACGCGCACTCTTCCTCCTTCTCTTCTGACATCGGGCCTGTCTCTCGCGTCCGGCGTCTTGCATGTCGCGCGATATCGTATCTGCTTGTCGTTAACGGCAAATGGTTAGCCAGCAACGGCGCAGGTGGCATGTCTCCCAGTCGGTCTGGGTCTGAGCCAACATGCCCCTCCAATGCGACAACAGCGACCCCTCCATATCGGGAGACAGGGCACCTTGACCGGATAGACCAGGCAGCAAAGAGGCACTACCCCACCATGCCACCATCTCCGAGAGAGCCATCGGGATACAAGCTGTCCTCTGTCTCACCCTCCTCAGACAGCTCGGCACAGCGCGGGCAAGCCGGAGAATGTTGGAATAGAACCCCCGGGCCACTGATAAGCACGCCTTTGTTACTCGCTCGTCGCCGCTCCATGAGCTCTGAATCAGTCCGTCTCTTCCTGCTTTCTCGACAGAGGCTGATGGGAAACGGAGTACATGGAGAGTTCGGCCAAGGCATGATGCAGTCTCTCGGTGTCGGCGGTGCAGCTCCGTCAAGCGCCGCGGGGGTGACGGCTTCGGCTACAGGCAGACAAGAACCTTGATCGTGAACGTGGTTTGCTTTCCAAGCACAAAGCACGCTCCCTACTTAGGCCTAGAGGCAGGCTGGGCTCGAACCGGGGGCCTTGCCGTTTTCCCTGCTCGACATTGATGAATGGGATTGCGGCGATGGCTGCTGCAGTGCTGTGCAGCACACATCCTGCCTGCATGTACATGTAGTGGTACAACAGTGTCATCCATGACACCAATTCCATCCCCATACGGATAAGGCAGGGAAACGGCATGGCAGGCTGCGCCTGGCCGAACAGAGTTGTCGACAGGCGTAGTTGTAAACGGCTTGCGCTGTGGCACAACAGCTAACGGTGGCCTGTTGCGGCCAACGCGGGTGGTGCGGATGCTGATCTCAGTCTCACGTCCGTGACAACTACAACAGAGATGATGTCCACTTGCGGGACCCGATAACTTGATGAGACCGAACGACGGTACCTCTAGGCGCCTAGGTAGATAGGTAGCGAAGCAATAATCCAAAGCCTGAGCTGATCACCGCTGATATCCCCCCTTCATGGCTATCTAATCCTCACGCCTTCCACGGGGGAAGAAGGTCCAATGCAACAGAGACGTCCAATTTCCCTCCCGCGCCTCGCATCCTCTAGAACGTCGCCCCCTCCTATTCCGCTTCTAGATGCATTCGGCCCATGCACATAGACAGCGAAGCCGACCCAACGTTTTTGACAGTGATTTCTTCGGTCGCCAGCATTCAACGACGCCGCCAAGTACAGCGAGCACTTCGATGACTTCTCTACAGATACGGCTTCGTGAGTTTGTTCTCCTTCTCATGGTGGCATGACACCTCCGTGCCGGGCACCATGTCCAGACCCAGCAAAGGTCAAACAGGGCAAAACCGGAACCATCGAACCCACTGATGCCCCATCGCCAGTCAAACATGTAAGCTCTCCAGCTAAATAGGTACTTGGGGTTATGCGTGTGTTCGTGGGTATCAATGCTACACACCTGCGAGCGCTTACCTCTGTTAGTCAACGTATTCTCTCCTCTGTACCTGGTACCTTCCAATCCACAATTGTTGCACTTACGTAGGCCTCGGCCGTCAGATCAGCCATCGACCACGGAAGGCGTCGCAAAGTCACTGCTCCATTCCGTCAAATCGGAATGCCACCTTATGCATCCCGTCAAAACGTCTCGTATTTTCACCGTTGCTCTTTCCCTCCCTTGAGCCCAGCAGGTAGACTCAGGAGCTACAGGCGAACCGCCGGTCCATCATCCTCCCATCACTTCGCATTGAGTCACAGCCAGGGACCTTATCGAATTAAAACTCGAGCTCCCGTTATGGATGGGCTGCTCACCACATTCTAGACCATGCTGACACATCGACACCCCCCATGGACCGATAGTCAGCAAGTGGGCGTTTGCTACACTACAAAGGCGGCGTGTTCTCGGCGACTCCATAGTTCACAATCCGTCCAAATGATTCAGGACCATTTTATCCGATCATGTCCAACCGTTGTCCTGGAACCGACCTGGACAATTTCTGGCTTGCCACCCTGGAGCCAGGGTCCTCGACTCCTCGCGGCCACGTTCGCCGTTAGCCTTTCCAGATGCATCATTCCGGAACAAGCTTGAGGTAATTCGTGAAGAGGGTGCCTGGCCGATCAGGTCTGGATCTCAAAAGTCCTTCTCTGTCGCAACCATTAAGTCTGCACCCTTTTGAATTCGGTCTGTCGTCGTCTCCACCGCACCACCACGGCTTGGTCAAGCCGTTCCCACAGCCACCCGGTTCCCTATACTGTGCCATGTGGTAAACTAAAGCAGCAGGTGAAAGCCCTGCATCCGCCGTGTTCCAATCAACATGCGCACCTAGATTATGTTCCAGGCTTCTTGCTAGAACCTGGAAGGCTTTCCTCTAGTTTACCGCCGAGCCCCGTTGAAGCCAAGGACGAGACGCGGCCCTCTCCCCACATGCGGTCGGTTTCAATGCGTGATTCCATCGGGCGGCTCGGACAAGAACTCCCGACGCAGTACCTCGCTGTCCTGGACGTGCCATGCAGCTTTTCTTTCTTTGGGGTTGGCCCTCCAAGCTCGCCTGATCGCATCAACAGTTGCTATCCTCCCAATGGAACAATTGAGCTCTGTTCCGTAACCCGGGAGTGATTGCGGCCACTGGCAATGGGGGTGTGGCCGAGCCAAGCCGAGCCTATCCGTGGTCTCTTGGGATATCTCCTTCCGCCACGCAAGTGTCTAGGATCAGCAGCGACCCTAAGTTTCGGTACAGGTGGAGACGGAGCGTCAATAACCCCGTCCAGGAGCAGGTTTCTGGCCGGATGCTCTAGGCGTCGGAAGGCCTCGATGATTTCTGCTTGCAGAGATGCCGTTACCTCCGGTGCCGCTATCATCTAATCGATGCAACGAGTCAGTTTTAATGACCGACATTGAGCAGCAATCCTACACCGCTACTGTTTGGGCGCGGCGGCGTCATTGGCTCGCAGGTTGAAGAAGGCCAATCTCTTAGGAATATGCAACCGTGTGTGGGTAACTATATGTTGGCGTTGCTCAGCTTTGGGGAAGATGCAGCTAGACGAGTATTACCGGGTCGATGTCCTATTTGTGCCAGTTGGCAACGAGCGGCCCGGCCTCTAGGTGGTTGAGTTTGACTGCTTTTGGCTGCTACTTTCCTGCCTGCTTATCAAATAATAGTTCGCATCCGCAGATGAACGCCGAAGCAAACCTAGTTTGCATGTCACCAAAGACTGCGGCCAGAATAGGACGGCCCGCGGTTGTCGATTGATGCCGACCCGCAAGTCCGCCGGGTCGCTCGGCGACTCATATGCCGGTGCCCAATCCGAGGACGCCATAGATTGACCGAGCCGTCCCTGACCAGCCTTTCTGCGTCAATGGGGGTGTCATGGCTGGTGCCCCGGCACACGGTGAATGGGAGTAGGACAACATGATGCGGGCAGCCGGATCGGTCTAGACAGGCGATAGCTGGTATTGTGGTGACATACCAATGTGTGACTCCAGTGGCGATGTCATCATGCTTGGTTCCCTTCGTCTGGGAGGTAGTCTCGTTGTGACCACAGTACGCAGCGGTCAACGTGTTGGTGATGTGCATTTACCAATTGTCTCATCACCAGAGCGCGTCGCATCTCAAGCGTGACAGGACAACTAAATTGCGTCCAACCCAGTCATCATTAATTCTATATAATTATCGTCTACCTCTATAGCAACGAGGCAGGTTTCTTCGTACATCATGCCAGAAAAAGAAAAATTCGAAAAGGGCAGGTCTTTGAGCGCGTTGGTATCTAATCTAACAACATGGGGAACGTGAGCCAAAAAAAAAGGGGGTATCTTTCCTTGTTTGTCTTGCCTTCTGCGGCAGGGCGCACACAAAACAGTAAGTGCGCGCGCGCAAAAAACAAAACAAAACAAAAGCATGGTAAGCTGAAGAGAGGGGCAAGAAGGAAAGGCGCCATCCACCCGAGGAGCCTTGCAACCACTCTCGTATCGATGATCTCGGAGACGGGAACGTGTCTAGTATGTCGTGTGACCGAGGAAAGGGTGGTGTGCTCTGTCACAAGTAAGACAAAATGCTGATCTTGAGATAACGCCTGGAGGTAAACAGCTGGCGGGATTGGTAACGAGATAGGGCAATGTCGGCTTGATGTGCCGAGGGAAAATGGGCGTGTCGGGCCAGGTTGGGCGATGGCTTGTTTGGTTGTTTTGATCGTTTCGTTAGTGGAATTGCAGTCGGATGATGGAGAAGAACATGTTTTGCAGAACGTGGAACATGACGGCCACGCTGGTAGGCAGCAGCTCGGGCCAGACGACGAGGTCGAGCTTGCCCTCCATGCCGACGTCGACGCCAAAGATCCACCGGATGAGCGCGCGAACACAGACGGACGCGATGAGCTCACAGGCCCAGGTGACGGACGAGGCCCAGAAAGTGAGACTGAAGTCGTAGTCGTCGCTCTTTTCCTTCATATCGAAGGCGAAGTAGGGGTAGACGTCCTTGTTGGGTCCGAAGTGCAGTACGAGGACGCCCCCGAGGAATGCGGCCATGGAGACGTTCTCGGCCAGGAAGCGGATGAATACGTTCCGGGTGCAGACCTTTTGGTACGAAGCATACGACTGGTCTGTAAAGTTGAGGGCGACTGTGATGCGATGATAGAGGCGGGACATTGTAAGCGGAGTAAGGATGATGAGGGTGCTGCTCGAGAGGATCTGGAGGTAGATGAATTGCTCCGGGGAGCGGAGGCGTGCATAAAGGGCGCGGACGTAAGTTTGGTAGGTGAGCATGAAGTACCTAGATCGCCATGTTAGAAGCAATTCCGCGGGTTTGGGTAAAGAAAGATAGATTGATAGCTTACAGCTTGAAGACCCAGCTCAGGGGGTAGCTGCCAACCCTTTCACCCTCGCGGATACCTAGCAGCCAGCCAGTGAGGGCATCGAGCAGATGAACAGTGATTATCCAGCTGTAGACGTACACAATGGTCTCCAGATTGTTGTGAGGGAGCGTCCGCAGATATATTTCAGCGTAGGCTTCTCCTATCACGTACGCCAAAAGTCCAACAAAGAGGGCTAGGCAGAACCAGATGAACCGGACAAAGCTGGCGGGCAGCCATCTGCGACGCATTCTGACGCCGCCAATGTGCCGAGACTGATCGGCAGCGACCTGGAGGGTATTGTCCGGGTCGAAGGAATCGCTGCTGAGATTCGGCCGCCGGCGGTTATCGCGCCGAGGAATGCTCCCTTCCGCCTCGCCTGTCCACCAAGATGATGTGAAGATGCGCTGCGTTTCGGAGAGCGACTGACGCAGCTTGAGGTGCCGCTGAGATGTGAGGAGGATGCAGAAGGCGGTTGTGACGGGCATGGCCATGACTATAAAGGTCCATGAGATCCACGCCGTGTTGTGCATGGTGAGGAAGCGCGTTTCCGGGCTTAGGTAAATGGGGATCGGGATCGCTATGGAGACCAGCGCGATGAGTGACATGGTGACAGGGAACCCAAGGGACTGTGGCCACCTACGTGTGTGTAAGCGTTTGGATTTTGCGGCATGTGTAGGAGGTGAGAGGGACGTACCAGTTTAGGCTGTATAGGTTGAAGACCTTGGTGATCCATATCAGAGCCGTGACATTATAAAACCCGTAGTAGACAAAGAGAAAGAACCAAAAGTTGATCTGCACTCTTGCTTCGCCGTGCCCGGGTATCTTAAGCCCGGACCCTGGCCCGATATCACCTCGGTCATCGTCGTCGTCGCCGGGGAACGAGTACTTGGGAAACGGAACGGCACACCACGCAATGGCCTGCGTTCCTCTCAACATTAGCTGTGGACTTATCCCATCTTTTTTTGCCAGGTCTTCAGCTGTCAACGTACCAGAGCAGCGGGCATCAGCACCAACACCCCAAATCGACTCCACCAAACATCGACGACCCCTTTGACAGCACTCTGCTTCGGCTCTACCCAAACATCGGAGATCTTGCGCCACGTTCTTTCCCAGGTACTCAAATCTGCCCAGTCGCTCTGCGTCCCATTGTTGTCATAATTTTCAGGACCTGACGCGGAAAGCAGCGCTCCATAACCCACATGGACACTTCCACGGTTGTTGGCCGTGAGGAGGCCTAGGGTGCTGGAGCGCCGGCGGCGGCCAGGGATGTCGGGTTGCTGGGGAACGGCGCGGAATCGGCCAAGAAGAGGGGATGCATCGCTAGTGAGGCGGGTTCGGGACTCGTTGCCTTGTGTGAATTGAAAGAAGCTCGGCATTGCTCCGAAAAAGGAAAGAAGAAAAAAGTTGAGTTTTCGGCAAGGTTCGTCTATCTTCGCAACATTTGGATGGCGTTGTTTTGGTCCTTTTGCTGAACGGCAAGTCTCTCGTAGGCTTTCGTGTGCTAAGCCAGTCAACGCGTTTGAGTCCTCGACGAGCAAATCGCAATGCGCCGGGCCGGACTTGTATCTTATCTCGAGCTGTTTCGTTGCTTATACGCGGGACGACGCGGGTCTGGCTTTGGAATGTTTGGGTGTCGAAGCTCGTGGTGAGGTGAAGGAATCCCGGACGGTCATCCGGTGTAAATTGGGATTTCAGTGGCGTACAAGGCTAAGACCGCCGTGCGCCTGGGACAGTCCCTGAGTTTTCGGCGGACAAGGCGGATCTAACCCCCTGGCGAAGCGGGCGCTAGCGCGCTTTGGGCGGATATGGGGTGTGTTGGCAGTGGGGGCATCGGCCACGTTGTGCCCCGACGTGCCCCCATCCGGGATGCCGCATGAGTTGAAAGAGATTAGTTGGCATGTCTATATAACTAACTCGGTATATGAAAGTCGTTGTGGTAAGCTATTTTACGCTCGGAGACTACCTTGTCATGACTACGCCCGCATACTTGGCTCAGAACTCCCCTGTATGATAATGATTTCGCTTACCTACAGCATGCCTAGATTCATGCATTCTGGATGCTGCATAAAAGCTCGTCGTTTTAGTTCTAAACTCTCAGAATAGTGTACAGCGATATATTGTGAAACATAATCATTCATCCTGGTCCATGGTTTCCTCGAAACCCTCGGAATCACCAGTGTCGTCAGTATCATCAGTAGAATGGTCTTCATGCTGGGGCACGTCGACAAACTCATTGCCAACTTCCACGTCAGCTTCGACATCAGCCTCGGCCTTCGTCCCAGTATTACTTTCAACGTCCTTGGCGTCGTCAGAAAATGCAACTACCTTTGCAGTGGGTGATTTCTTGGGTGGCTCTAGAACGTCGCCGCTCCATGGCTTGCATTCTTTGACGAGCTCTCCGCACCTCAGACATGTCCATCCTTCGCCCTCTTCTCTATCGAGGCGGGTTGCGAGACATACAAAGCAGTACACGCACCCGCAGGGGATGGTCTCGTAAGGATTGGTGATATCAGTCTGGGCCGAACCAATGACACCGCTCGATGCTGCCGCGGCCATAATCTCCGTTTCGGTGCTCGCAAGTGCGTTCTGGTCTTGGTAGCAGATGGCACAGGTGCGCTCGGGCAAGAAACCAAACTCGCCATTTGCCGTTTTATCTTCGTCTCCCTTGGTAGTGATGATCTCTTTCGTCTTGCGCCACGTACGGGAGATCCATCTCCGCCACCGGTTGATGCCAACGAGCGGCAATATGAAGAGCAAGAATTCTGTAAAGGCGTGCCACACAAGTTGCCGGTTGAGATACTCGAAGGACACTTCTCGGCTCACCTGGCTGGTGGGCGGAGCCAGGCGCATCCGCAAGGCTCGGTCCAGCAGGGTGCGATAACGCCCTTGCAGAAGAAAGACAAGGAAAGAAACGAAGGCTGCGCTGGCATGCAGCGTTGTTGCTCGAGACGTGATCCTCGACAGCCTTTGAAGACGAGGGTTGGGTTCGTCGCTGTACCCGTCGTCATGGTCAAGGAGCCAGTTCTCCCATCTCTCCCAGCCGTATTTCCCAAAAACGGTAACCAACCCGTACAAGGACTTCTGCCACTTGGACGGCGCGACCAGGGCCGAGGCGCTCTTGCGCGCATCCGTATACTTCAGATTCTGTAGAGCTGCGCCGTAGGTCGCATCGTTGTCCCACACAGTCAACTTGAAAAGGATGGCGCGGAGCGCCAGAAGGATTTCAGCGGACCAGTCGTCTTTCAGGTGGCCGCCACCGAAGTATTTCAGCGCATCGCCAACCTGGCCGCGGAGGAGTTCCAACAACTCGTCATCCAGCAACTCTGCATCGACCTGACCAACCCTGAAGGCGGGTCGGGTGCCCTCCTGCGATGATATCGAGTCCCAAGCCAAGCCAAGGCGACTGAGGGGGAACGGTAAACGATCGATCCGGGCGCGAGCTTGTGATGCGTCGCGTTGCGCGGCGATGCGGGCTGCATTGTTGGATTCGCGGGCCTGTCGACGGGCTGCGAGGCGCTGCTGCGCTTGCGCAAAGTTGGTCGATGTCATCTGGGTGACATTGGGTGGTGGAATATGGTGATGAGGTGCAATTTGACACCTCTCTCAGTCGTTGACAAGGTGTGGTTTGGTAGGTGCAGAGAACGTGGGCGATGGAAAGAGCCGAGGTCCGCTAGGCTACACAATACCTGCTCCTATCTACTCCGTACCTAGGTCCAATACCACAGACGGCTGGGGATTGGAGGATTGGCGGTGGGGGTTCTACCTACCTAGGTACCTACGGATCATCCGACGTACCGGTGCGCCTGGACCACCTCGTCTTCTGGACGTACTAGTAAATACGAACACAACCAACCACCCCCGGCCTTATTACCAAAGCAACTCTACTTTGAGCACATCAAATGTGATCTTACAAACCACCTTACATCTGTCATGCCCCCGTCTTTGCAGATTCTCTGCAGGAAACAAGCTTACATCAGATGGCGTGTTGCCAGCCTGGATGAGCCCTTGTGTAACTTCAGGTCTGAAGTTTGAACGGCTTTAGATGAACCACCCCTGCTAGGTGCGGCCGCAATTGCCGCTACTGCTTCTATCCGTATCCCCATGCCATCATCCTAGGCTTCCATGAAGAATACCAGCGTGTCCGACCTCCTGTTCGGTGAATGCGCCACTAAGCTCGGAACTGTAGAGGAGCCTTGCTCGCTTCGTCGAACCCTTCACGATCGCCAGGTGCGCTGAGGCAATACATCGAGGCGGTCTTTCACACGATTGGACAAGATGCGGCCAGGCAGCTGCAGAAACAAGTCAAGCTTATGTCCAATAGCGGCAAAACGTCCCACACCTCTCGACCCCACAGGTCACAATAGTTTCTGTAAAATGCCTAGAGCCATGGTTACTTCTCAGGCCTGCTTCTAGTTGTCTCTTGTGGCATGCCGTAGGCTGATGCTCTCTCCACCAGCATCGATGCTCGGATATGGTCGGTGTTAGTCTGACCGACGGAGTTGAGCGAAAGCAGCGGCATATGACGCAGTACTTCTGGCCTCCCATGTCATATTCGCAGAATAGTACAGTAACGTTACTCAGCAACCAGACAGCAGTGGCCACTAGGAGGATGATCATCTATGCATGTTTTCCGAATATGCTCCGCCAGACCCCGACGCTCAGTATTTTGCCTTGGTTAACCATGGGTGAGACGTCCAGATACCTTCTTCGTCTCTTTCACCAATCGGACCACTCATACCGTATAGAGAACTCGACCCCTTGCTGGTTGGCATCAGCTTCTGTCAAACGGTGGCATGGTCAACTTCAGAAAATGGCATGCAGTAGCTTGCCGCTCCTACAAGTACATTACGAAGACCTACCACCGAAACCGGACCACAACAACTTTAACCTGGTCCTGACGTAGAAAGCGGAAGGTCCAGAAAAGTCGGCATGCATTAGACATGTTACCTAGGAACCGGTCTACTTGCATATTAGCAACCCAAACCATCCTCCGCCCAATGGGCTGGGAAGGAGGGGTTACCCTAAAGGGCCTTGACGTGACCCAGCCCCCACCCACGCCTTTACGATGATGCTTACCAATATGTTTCTATTTTTCGACTGTCTAATAGAAGCCCTCTCGTTGTGCCAAAATGTGCTTGTCGACGTGAAGAGAAAGTGACGAGGAGTCGCGGGTTCTAGTAGAATGGCGGGGCTTAGACGAACCGGATTCTGCCGCTGCTTTCCCCCTTGGCCCGCCATACTTATGCATCACTGTCCAGTTTACCTATTTGGGTCAGTGAGGATGGGAATGTAGTATTGAGGTGTCCAGGCGTGTGACGGGGCTGAAGCTCGTTGAATACTAATCATTGCCGTCCAGCCCAAGTGTAAAGTTTACATAAACACCACATACCGTGCCCGGGGAGAAGCCATGCGACAGATAGCTTGGGATTTCGACCGCAATCAACATCAGCCCCCAATCAAGACTGGCGCAACTCACCATGGTTTCCGAGTCGACATCCAGTTCAGGAGAAGCCAGTGATCTGGGAGACGCGCAACCACGTGCCGGAGCTACCAAGTCGAAAGCTACCATACGGGCGTCCCTCGCCTGTGTACCTTGTCGATCGAAACACGTCAAGTGCGACTCTGCTTTGCCGACATGCCTCAGATGCCGTCTAGAAGAAAAGACCTGCTATTACGCCAAATCTCGGCGAGGAATCCGAGATCCCAAGAAGCGCAGTCTTATCAACGACCCCATTGGTCCTCCCCCGACTGCTACAGAATCGCCAGTGTCCTTTCCTTCCCCCGAGGTAGCAAGCCTTGAGATCCCTATCAATGTGGTCGGCACCCTGCCTGGAGGGTGGTCTTTGATGAGGAGCCCGCGTCTCTCGGATTCAATAACGGCTTCGCCGACCTCACTCCTCTTCGATCTCTACTTTACAAACTTCCACGACACACATCCGTGGCTCCTTCCTAAGAACCAACTCTTGCATCAGATCCGGACTAAGCCCGAGCCTTTTCACTTCTTGGCAAGCTGTGTCGCTTATGTGGGATCTCTCTTCTCGGAGGCTATCTCCTCAGAGGAGTTGCGAGAGAAGGCGTTCAGCTTGGCCAGTGGCAGTTTGCCAATGACTTGCTGGACAGTCCAGGGGCTTCTTGTTCTCAGCGTTGCGGCCCTTGGGGAGAGTCGAATGGACTTGAGCGGCGGATGGATGGACACTGCAACCCAAATGGCTCTCAAGCTTGGAATGCAAGAAAAGGCATTTGCAGATTCTGAGCCCGATCCATTCGTGGCGGAGAGTTTCAGGAGAACGTACTGGGCTCTTTACTGGCACGGCAACATGCGGGCGATGCGCGAAGACTCGCCGACGTTTACATTGTTCGGTGTTCTTGCAACCACAGAACTTCCTTGCGAAGAGTGGGAATATCAATCTGGCGTACGTTGAACCAATAGTCACCGCGGAAGAATTTCGTGCCGAATAATGCGTTGACTTAACACCAGGAGATTACACGGCCGTTGTCGTTGAAAGAGTACGATGCCAGAGATCCGATGAGCCACAAAAGCTATTCATCTTGGACTTATCTGATCGATCTTTGTCGTCTGTGTGGAGAGTTGATACTGCCAATGCCAGCATTGCCGCCTGGCCTCCTGTCTGCCACGATTGATAGAGCCGATTCTGGAATCGTGACCTGGCTGATCACTTTACCCAAGTGGAAGCAGGAGTTGGTTGATGCGGGGGGGACAGTGGACATGATACTTTTTCACGCGATGGCTTATGCGTACGAGTATGTTCACAACAGATGAGCGTTCGCCCCAAGGATTCTTTTCGCTAACGGAACTACAGCTTGAGGATCAAAATGCAGCTACCGTTAGGAGCATCAGGTTTCAGCACCAGAGATTTCCTCACACTTGGCCCACTCTTCAAGGCTAGCAACTCCTCGACAGCAAATGCACAGCGGTCATACACGTCTACCCATCCGTGGCTTGAATGTTCGACAGCTCTTCAGGCAGGCCTTTCCACCATCGGCCTCTTCAACTTCTCGCTTCCACCAGCGCGGTATAGTCCAGCTTGCATCATCGGTCTACAACGGGCAGCACTCCCATTGCTTGACGCAAGGATGTACGGAGGAGCTGAGTCACCAGCTTTACGAGAGAAGCTTAATCTTCTGCTAGGTGTGTTGAAGATAGCCGGCGAGATATGGCCTGTCGCTCGAAACATTGGTAATGAGGTCAGCGAGGTGCTGAGAGATGTGAACGGCACGCATCACCACAATACCACCTTCGGGCCTAATCCGAGCATGGATACTTTTATTACAGGCATGACATCATCCGGAAGCGTTCATGGCCCAATCATGTTCCCCTTCCCTGATTCTAGGACGTCGGAAGAAATGTTTCACTGGAATAGCGGTATCACGGGATGAGAGATACGACAGTGTCGTGTTGAAATGGTTGGGAAGTCATCAATCCTCATAAAAAGTTTCCCCCTTTCATGAGACGGGAGATGTTGGTTTCAAGAAGTATCGAAGTTCAGCATCAAGAGTTAATAATTGCTACATCATGATTGCTATATACCATAGACAGAAGTGGACAGCGTGAGAACGCTGCAGTATGGGATTGAAAAAAGTGTTCCATTAATCACTGAATATGCACCATTGCTGAGCCATTGCCAAGTACAAGCATGAACACTACAGAATAAGGTACATGAGATAGGTAATAGGTACTAGGAGCCCGAAACTTTCTAACCGCTGGCAGCCTGATGCAGTCAGTGCCAATGTTTCTTCAACGCCCCACTACCCCGCGATGGCTGCCCTGAGGTACCTAGGTAGGTAAGATATGAACAGTGGCCAGTGCCCCGCCAGAGCGATAATTAAGGCCTGGCTTTGTCTAAAATCCCGACGACTTCTTTGATCCTCCCGCCCATCTCATACGAGATTCTTGGCCCCGAGCCCGCCCTCGACTGTACAACCCTCTCCCCGAGCTAAACCTTGGATCAAACGACTTTGGTGTAGACGCCTTGGTCGCTTCCTAAGACCACAAGATGAGCTTCGCTATCGAGGTACCCGGCGACGCCAACCCCCTCAACTTGCAGGAGCTCTGCCGCGTCCTCGAGTCCGCGACTACCTCGACCGACTATGCGCGTAGACAGGCTGCAGGGCAGCAGCTTTCTTCATGGGAGACTGAGAAGGGCTATTTCTCCTCGCTTCAGGTATTTTGTTTGCACTTGGACATGCAATTGGCTCAGGCGGGGTGCTGATGTTCTGTCTCTAGACCATCTTCCTCGATAAGTCCCTCCCCCGCGAAATACGGTTTCTCGCTGTGATTCAGCTCAAGAACGGGATCGACAAGTACTGGCGGCTACTTCCTCATGTAAAAGGTGGGCTGGATCCAGAGGAGAAGAATCTTGTCCGGCAGCGCTTGTTCCAGGGCACGCTTGAAGAGGAAGAGGCGGGTCTTTCGTTGCACAACTCCCTAGTCACCGCCAAAGTCATTAGGATTGACTATCCGCAACACTGGCCGGATGCCCTACCCCAAATCATTGGCCTCGTTAGGTCATCCAAAAATGGCAATCAGCAGCACCTTTATGGTGCTCTGCAGATTCTCCTTCGCGTTGTCAAGGAACTTGGCACTGCTCGCCTCCGACGATCACAAACAGCCCTCCAATCCGTCACCCCCGAGATGGTCTACTTATTGGGAGAAATCTATACCGAAAAGTCGGCAGTGTGGGTTGACTTTCTCACAAACGGCCGCAACGACGAGGATACCGCCGACGTGGCTATGTTAAACAGTCTCATCGCCCTCAAGATAATCCGACGGTTAGTGGTGGTAGGCTATGAGGCTCCTCACAACGACAAGACAGTTGAACAGTTCTGGACTGTCTCTCAGAATCACTTCGGGCAATTTCTCGGCTTTGTCAGCCACGACTCTCCTGTCCCCGCGCCCTACCAAGATACAGTGGGAAAGCATCTTCTGCAGTTCACGAAGCTTCACATCGACATGTCTGAAGCGCACCCCGCAAGCTTCGCTGTTCTACCAAATTCTTTGCCCCTGGTACATGCATACTGGGATTTGGTAGCAAAGTTTGCAGAGGTTTTCGAGAAGTCGGGTGGTATCCGCCAGTCCTCTGGTGATTCAGGCCCGTCAGAGTCCAAGTCAAAGGTTGAGGGACCTCTGCTGGAGAGACTGGCACTACGGGGCTTGCTCTTAATGAGAGCGTGCTTGAGGATTGCATTCTATCCCAAGCAGACTTTCAAGTATCGGAGTGCAGAGGCCAAGAAGGATGAGAACGAAGCTGTTGCGCTCGTCAAGCAAGAACTCCTCAAAGACGAGTTTGTAGTACAGATGGCCAACACGATTATCACCCATCTTTTCGTTTTCCGGAAGGCTGATTTAGACGCTTGGGAGGAAGATCCCGAGGAATGGGAGCAGCAAGAACAGAGCGAGGGCAACGCCTACGAATGGGAAGTCCGCCCCTGCGCCGAAAAGCTTTTCCTGGATCTACTTGTCAACTTCAAGCAACTTATGATACCCCCTCTGCTTTCTTACTTCCAGATTGCGACAAACGCACAGGCAGATATCGCTACCAAGGAGGCGGTATATACGGCTATGGGATTGGCTGCTCCTAACGTATCGAACGCATTCGACTTTGACAGTCTTTTGGTCTCGACTGTTCTCCAAGACGCTCAACAGCAAGGGCCCCTATACAAAGTCCTCCGCAGACGTATCGCGATCATGGCCAGCCAATGGGTCACTGTCAAGATCGCTGACAACAGTAGACCACTTATTTACGAAATGTTCCGACATTTCCTCAATCCTGCCGACCCGACCAACGATATTGTCGTTAGAATTACTGCCGCTCGTCAGCTACGGTGGATTGTGGACGAGCTTGCTTTCAGCGCCGAGGCCTTCCTGCCATATGCGGCTGATGTGCTCAATGAGCTTCTCCAGCTCATCCAGAATGTTGAAGTTGATGAGACGAAGCTTGCCGTTCTGGAGTCGATGCGGATCTTGGTCACAAGATTAGAGAACTACGTCTCTCAGTTTGCAGACTTCATCATGTCAAACCTGCCTGGTATTTGGGAAAATTCTGGAACGGAGGAGTACATGATTAAGCAAGCAATTATTGCCATCTTTGCTGCCTTAGTAATGTCCATGGGCAGTGCCTCCCAGAGATATCAACATCTAATGGTTCCGTTGCTGTCGGAAGCCGCCAAGCCCGGCTCTGACCTACACACATATCTCATCGACGAGGCTTTGGAGTTGTGGAACTCTGTTCTCATGCAAAGCAACCCACCCTTGTCTGCCGAGATCATGAGTATCGCGGAGCTGTCTCTTCCCCTTCTGGAATACCAGACGGAGACCGCAGCTCAAGCACTCTCTGTGGTTGAGTCTTATATCCTCCTTGGAACTCAGACAGTCTTGGAAGATAGGTTGCGACGTCCTTTTCTGCAGGCACTGTCAGGCGTCCTGGATTCCAGAAGCCGAGAGCAGGTTAGACTCGGCACGGTTTGTATAGAGTACCTGATCCGAGCCGCCTCTGAGCTTGGCGGCACGCAGGTGATTTTCCAGGACCTCTTGGAGATCGGGTTTCTTGGGAAGATCATGGAGGCTCTCCACGATGCTTGGGAGGCCAACCAAACGACCGGACCGAACAGAAAGGTCAGCAAGCTTAATACGATCACAGAACGCGATTATTTTGCGATTCTCTCTCGGCTGGTCATCGCTGACCCGGGTCTCTTCGTTACAATGCTCACCTCCTTCGGCCCTATAGAAGGGGTCTGGGGCTGGCTTAGCAGCGAGTGGTTCGCCCATCTTGACGGCCTAGACCATCTTCCTAGGCAGAAGCTGTCTCTTCTTGCTCTGACACGTCTTTTGGAGCTTCCACAACCGATGCAGAACCTGGCCCTTGCGAAGCTGCAAGACTATTTCACTCTCTGGACAGGCACCATTGCCGAGCTCCAGGACGGCATGACAGACGGTTCCGACTCGCTTATCTGGCAAGACCTTGAGCCTACCGACTACGACACTCCCAAGAGTATCAAGGAGACGGAGTTCGGCCAAAAAGACCCAATCCACACGGTCAATGCCATGCGGTTCGTGAAGGAAAGGCTGCAAGAAGTCGTCCAGCGTTCTGGCGGCGAGCAGCAGTTTGAGCAGGAGTGGGCCATCAACGTGGACAAGGATGTGCTGCAGAAGTTCTGGTCGCTGACGCAAATCACCGGGGTGTAAGATGCAATCTTGCTGATGATCGGGCTGGTTGCGATTCGACCTGTGGTCGCCAGGGGCGGGATGATTACGATTTCATGATAAAGCCGTGGGCTAGAGCGCATGGCCTTCTTCCGGGCAACGGTGAATGTGAATAGAAATGGGAATTTGAGGAAACAATAGTCCATGCTATCCCGGTGAGGCCGGCAGTCGAGCCGCGAGGAGGAGCTCGCCCTCCAACAGCATTGCCCTAGGCGCTTGATCTGGTCCAATTTATTTTTCATAGCTTGCTTTGACCATCCTGAGGGATCTTGACCACCACCTTACCCCAAGTGCCCCGGCTTCCCAAGGCTATCAGCGCGTCAGGAATGCGCTCAAGTCCAACAAACTCCTCGTCGGTGAACTCGGTCCCGCGCAGCTTGCCCTCGGCGACGAGCTTCATAATGCCCTTCCATACCTCGACGACCGTCTCCTTCTCCTTGACGGCATACTGGCCCCAAAATATGCCCACAAGGCTGATGTTCTTCAGGAGGACCTTGTTCATGGCGACCTTTTCAATCTTGCCGGCGGCGAAGCCGATGATGAGGATGCGGCCGTTCCACGCCGTACACTTCGTGCTCGCATCCACCATTCCCACGGGGTCGTAGACGATGTCCACACCCCTGCCCTTGGGCGTCAACGCCTTGACTTTGGCGGGCCAGTCGGCCTCGCGGTAGTCGACGACATGGTCCGCACCAAACGCCTTTGCGACCTCGAGCTTGCGGGGCGTCGAGGCCGTCGCGATGACGGTGGCGCCGAATGCCTTGGCGACCTGCACAGCGGCGAGGCCGACGCCTCCGGCCGCGGCGTGGACAAGGACGATGTCCCCCGGCTTGATCCCCGCGCGAACGACGAGTGCTCCGTAGGACGTGGGCGCCGTGACGAAGAGACCGGCGGCCGCCTGGTAGGACCAGCCCTCGGGGATGGGAAGCAGCTCCCGCTCACGGGCGAGGCACTTCGTGGCGAAGGCGCCCTGGGTGGCGCCGAAGACGCGGGCGCCGACGGGGTATTTTGGGTTGGAGGAGGGCGCTTTGAGGACTGTGCCTGCGAACTCGGCACCAGAGATCCAGGGAAACGCTGAGCAGGGGTGTTAGTGAGACAGTCAAGCGACTTTGTGGTGTATTTAAGAGATACCAGGGACTTACGAGGCTGGGTCTGATATTTCCCTTGGATTTGCAGAATGTCAAAGAAGTTTGCGGCCGTGGCGTGGACTTGGATGAGGTATTCGTCGTCCTTCACAGGGACGGGGTCTGGGAGGTCTGTCACGAGGAGCTCCTTGGGAGACTTTTTTGGTTTCAGCTTGAAGCTACCGGAAAGCAAGATTAGAATATAGATGAGGCTCACCTTGACATATTGCTTGATTTGGATGCCGCGCATTGTAGGTAGGAATGTTGTCAGCTTGAAATATACAAGTTTCCAGGTGGAACAGCCCAAACCCCCAAACTATGAAAGCGAACGAATTGTATTGAATGTAACAGGCGATAACGTTCTGGGTGAGCCAGTAGATATGAGTATGTGATACAAAGATGTCAACAGTGAGTTTGTAGCTTCCAAAATATGAGGGCTTGTGCTACATATGTCGTCGGACTCGACCTTCTCTACGCGTCTGCTACCCCGGACCGGGGTTCCTGAAGGCGCGAAAGAGGGGGGAGCCGAGGCATATTGGTGGCCCCTCGTTGGCTAATCACCTTCTCGATGTGTGAACTCCGGGGGGCGTGGAGGGCCCAGCCGGTGAAGGACATTGGCCCGAGCGCTCAAGTCATCAGAGACCCTTCTCCGAGCCGAGGGTTTGCGGCTGCTGTCATCGTTCCCGCTAGCTGTGCTATGGCATGGCGTGGAGGGCGATGGGCGCTAAGTGATCGACAACTGGTTGATGGATTTTCGTTATTGATATTGCCACTTTCTAGTTGCTGAACTACGCCATTGGGTCATGTCTCGAAGATGACTGTGCGTGCATGCAAATGGCATCTTGTTCAAACACATCTTGAATCCATAGTGGTTCTTGAGTCGCGAAAGTTCACTCGAACTCGTTTGTTTTTTCTGCAAAGAGGTAAAATCAACAGCGAGGTCGCTTGCGTATGGTTTACGGCGCCAAGTTGCATCAGAAACCCGAACGCGAAATCGAAGGTCATGGATGGTGGTAGAAGAGATGACACCTGAGGCTTACCTGTATGTTGGAACAAGGGTGCTCGTTGCCTGTTTAGGAGGGACTCTAGATTCCACTATGAATTGCGCATACGTGCCTGTGTTGGATCTCTTGATACTGGGGATGGGATGTTTGGACAATAAAAATTTATGGAATGATTTTACAACAAACCGAAGACTGCAGATTCCTTGGGACAACATATCGGTCAAGCAGCATCGCACCTACATAGTATAGTTTGGTCTGTGTACCGTTGCGCAACCTTCCAGGAGCAGAGCGATCCTAGTACTGTACCTCTCGCCCCACCAGCGTCAGCGCACTGCGGCAGAGAGTACCTAGCTTCCACTCGCAGAGGCGACTGATACGGCGGGCAGATCACCTCCAGGCCACCGCATAAGGGCAGCACCAAGCACCAGTACGCAATTCACACTTACCTACCTAGGTAGTTGCCCCTCTCTGACCCCATCATTGGAGCCCACCTTCACAAACGCACCACCGACCGACCGACATCCAATCCTACGACTCCAACCGCAGCTACCGACTAGCCACATACTTTACATACCTATCTGCCTGGTTGACCTCGACCTGACCCCGGGTTGATCTCGCATTCCGTCGACCCGTTCCAGAATCCCAATATCTTCCGTTCCTCACCAACAACATCTCTACCCCTTCCTCTTTCTCCTCTGCATTCGTGAGCCGTTTTTAGGCCCTTGACTTTACCGCATTCACCGTCGCACTACGCCATCCAACACAATTACTTCAAACCAAGGACCGCCTCCATCGACTGCATACACGCACCAAACGAGGTCATGGCCGACAACACAGAGGGCGCTGGTGATGCCCAGGTCACCTTTAAGGTGAAGACGGGACAGGATAGCAACCACACCATCACCATGGCCGAGTCTGCCACCGTGTTGGACCTCAAGACCAAATTGGCTGGCGAAGACTTTGAGAACGTCCCCGTCGAGCGCCAGCGTCTTATCTACTCTGGCCGCGTCATGAAGAACGACGACACCCTCGGCACCTACAAGATCAAGCCCAACAACACCATCCACATGGTCAAGAGCGCCGCCAGCAACCCGGCACCTCAGCCCTCCGCTGCTGCCTCGACACCCGCTGCCCCCGCTGTGCCCTCCAACATGGCTGCTGGCACCGCAAATAACATTCTCGCCGGCCTGACCGGGGCCAGATACGCCGGGCACATCAACCTGCCCAGTCGCGAGACCTTTGGTGCAGACGGAGGCGTAAGTTACCCGCGAAACCACGGCGATTGCCGTATACTGTATGGCACAAGCTAATATTACGTGCTGCAGATGGGCGCCCCGCCGTCCGACGACCAGCTGGCCCAGATGCTTTCCGACCCCTCCATGCTCCAGACCATGAACGCGGCTCTCGATAACCCCGACTTCATCAACTACATGATCCAGAGCAACCCCCACTTGCGCAATGTGCCTAACGCCCGAGAGATCATCCAGTCACCTTTTATGCGCCAGATGATGACCAACCCGGACATGCTCCGCAACGTTATGAGAATGCAGCGTAATATGGCTGGAGGAGGTGGCAACGCTGCGTTTCCAGCGCCTGGCGCAACCGACACCACGCCTGCCGAAGCTGCGGCCGCTGGCGCCGGCGCCAATGCTAATAACGCTTCCCCGTTCGGCTTCCCTGGGGGTCTTCCGGGTATGCCGGGGTTCGGCGGCATGGAAGGATTGGGCGATCTTGGTGCGCTGTTTGGCCCGGGCAGCCCTTTTGCGCCTCAGCAACCCGGGGCCACTCCTGGTGCGGGCGCGGCGACCGGCAGTGACACGCAGGCTCCGGCAGGAGCGGGGGCCCCTGGAACTACGGGAGCAACGACGGGCGGGCAGGGTGCAAATGCTACATCGAGTCCGCCTCCGGCCAACCCCTTCGCTGCCCTGTTTGCGCCCCCTCCTTACGCGGCTCAGGGACAGACCCAGGGCCAGGGTCAAGGCCAGGCCCCAGCCAACCCCTTTGCTTCTCCTTTCGGCCAGATCAACCCGGAGATGATGCAACAAATGATGAACATGTGGGGTCTCGGTGCAGGCGGCGCCGGCGCTGCCGGTGGAGGCTCTCCTGCTCCCCCGGATAACCGCCCTCCCGAAGAACGCTATGCTGAGCAATTGCGCCAGCTCAACGACATGGGCTTTTTCGACTTCGATAGGAACGTGGCTGCTCTGCGCCGTAGTGGTGGTAGCGTGCAAGGCGCGATTGAGCATCTTCTTAGTGGTTGAGTACGGGTTCAATACATGACGATGCAGGCGGAGACAGACGGTTTCATCTTGTGAGGACGCACGATTAATGGATTATGGACTGGTCGCGGAAAGAAGCACATACCATAGTGGGTTGCCCTGAACTTGGTTCTGGCAGTTCCCAAGGGGATAGGAAAATTGACCAGCATGACGTTTATGACACCAGCTCGTGCAAACTGCTTTAGGGCATTTTACTAACAAACGGCCTCGTGCCTTCATTGTTACTACTTACTGGCTATCCTGCTCGTGATGTTTTGTATGGAGATGAATCATGAGAATATTACTCGAAGTTCTGTTCCTTATAGGAACTTGGTGTGTTTGCCGCAGCTTGTTGGGATTCCATGCTACCTAAGGTACGGCGCGATATGGGTTGGATGGGGCGATTAGACCGGTCCGGAAAACGTGCACCACACAACGTCTCCAAACTCACCACCTCAACTTACCGCCGACTTCTACACCCCTTGTCGATGGTTTGGTTTCTGCCAACACTCACTTTTACCGCAACTACCTGTCTAAATACGATGTAGCCGTCATGATCCAAGGCATCTTCTATGCTAGGTTCTTCCCCAAGGAGGGTAAGTAACGCAGGCCTTCTCGCTGCACCCGCATCGAGGGCATCTATCTCATCTAATCTCACTAACCGGCACTCGCAGGCCCACACATCGTGGCCCAGTCGCCGCCGGGCTGCATCACAGCCGCTCCCGGCGCGGCGACGACGAAGCCGCCGCTGATCGACTGGGACGTAATGCAGGAGTACATCGTACCGCGCAAGGCCTTCTTCAACCGGTACATGACGGTGCAGGACCCGGAGGGCAAGTACGCCGTGCTGGGCTTCCCCGTGCTGATCCCGCACCAAAAGTACCAGCGCAACGAGTTCATCTTCAACTTTGGGCTCGTGCTGGACGCCGACGCGGACCTGGCGCAGTACGAGCCCGTCGTGAGGCGGCTGGCCGTCACCTTTAAGGAGATGGAGAAGCAAAACGAGTATCTCAGCCAGGAGGACGGTGGCGGGAACAACGGAGGGGACAGGAGGCCGATTGAGAGCTTGCTGGAGATTGTGAAGGAGGATCTGAACAACTACGGCGAGTGCATGATCCCCGTCGGTAAGTCCATGTTGCTGTCCTCTCCTTTTTCTTCTTCTTCTTTTGCCTTGGGCCATCTTCCCTAAACAGAAACGACAGACGAGGCGAACAGGATCAACATGAAGCTCTTCCCGCACCACGCCTGCCCGCCCCTGGTTCGGGGCTGGCACGTCCCCGTCGCCAAGATGAAGTTCGCCGAGATCGTCGATCAGACGTGGGACCTGACGATGCAAAAGGTCGTTGCGCACATTGACGGCGTCAACGACGTGCGCCGCATCGCCTGGCTCGCTGACGTCTCGCTCGACCTCGCCACCCTCGCCTTGCGCCACCTGCTATACTACGACACCATCCTGCTGCTGGACATGTTCTTCTTCGGCTCCTGCTACGCGCCCCGCCCTGGCATCCACGACTTTGTCGCCGATCGCGATGGCATTGTCGACGAGTGCGCGGCCTATGTGTGCATCCACGCTCGCCAGCGCGTAAGCAACTTCATGCTTATCAAGCTGATGACGAGCTTCTGCGTGGGCAAAAGCGTCATGGAGTGGCTACGGGCGCATCAGGAGGCCGGGTTCGACGTGCTGCGCTACGTCGACGTGAGGAGGCTCGTGCAGTTCGGCGTCATCAAAGGGTGCCTGTACCGCGTCCACAAGTACGTCGTCTCGAAGCAGTACCTGGCGGCACTGGCAACGGGCCAGGCGAGGCCCAGGGCCGGCGGCGATCCGCTACAGCAGTACACGGACGGGTGCCACTCGTTTGACCAGATTATCACGGAGAGGAACCTTACGGACGGTGAGATTATGGAGAAGCTTAAGAGCCTGCCGGTGCCTAGCGGGGACTTGACGGTGTTTTATCACTGAGGAAGTCCGGAAGGGGGGTAATCACGAGTGACAGGGTTGTTAGAGCAGGACAAGGATGAGGAAAGTGCTCATGTTTACATTGTTCTAGTGTAGTAATATACATATCGTGGTACAGACGTTTGTACATGGTGTCGTGTGATACGTCAACTCTTCGCCGACAACTGTTCCACCGCTTCACCTACTGCGACTTGTGACCCTCCTCGAAAGCCTGCTGCCTCTCGCTCTTCTTTGGAAACTTGATATCCGGGTTGTTGGCGACGGTGACCTCCTCCTCGTCGGCGGCCAGCTTCTCCTTGAGCATCTGCTCGAGCTCGCGGCGGGACATCTTGCGGCCTTCAGCGGCGGCCATCTCCTTAAGCTGTTTCATCAGCACGCGCGTCTTGCCCTTGTAGGGCTCGCCGGGGTACGCCTTGCCGCTCTCCTGCCACTCCTGGTCGCTGACGACCTCGATGATGCGGACGTTGTGCTTGCCCTTGCGGATGATGAGCAAGCGCCCGTCGATAAGGAACTTGGGCACATCCTGGGGGTACCAGAGCTTGACGGGCGTCCAGTCAAGGTTTCCCGGGACAAGGCCGCGCATATCCTTGCCTGGCGCCGCGGCGACGTAGGCGCCCTGGGCGCGGGCGATGCGGTGGCCCTCGCTGACGGACGACGCCAGGCCTGCGGCGTAGAGGATGCGCGCAATGCCCTGGTTGTAAATGAGGTTCTCGGGGAGCTGCATGTCCATTTTGGGGGCGTTGTTAAGGGTCGTGGGATGGCCTTCGATGGCTTTGTATGGGGCCAGGGAATCCTGTCCTTCCTCGGAAACGCCGGCAGCGCCCGCGATTTGCGCGGCGTTTCCACCCTTTCTGTACATGAATTGGTGCTGCTGCTGCTCCCGGATGGCAACGTCGGCACCGTGGACCAGGGAGAGAACTTCGAAGGCGAGGGTATGCTGGGCAACTCTCTTGGGCGGGTCCTGGGCGTGCTCGATCATCAACTTCTCAATGCTGGCAGCGGGAAGGAAAGTGAATAGTTTGAGGAGCTTCTCGACCTCGCTGTCGGGCCGTCTGGCGAAGTATCCGTACAGGTCAAAGGCGCTGGTCATGAAGGGATCGAGCCAGACTGCGTTACCGGCACTCTTGCCGAATTTGGTGCCAGCGTTGTCCGTCAGAAGGGGCACAGTAAAGCCGATAGGGTCGTCCTTCCAAGTATCAGGCATTCTCATGTTGGGGTTCTCCTCCGAGGATCGGATCGTCTTGACGGCCTCGATGCCCGTGACAATGTTGCCGAACTGGTCAGAGCCTCCGATCTGCATCTGGACGCCTAGCTTGGAGTACAGGTGCCAGAAATCCCACCCCTGCATCAATGGGTAAATGAACTCGGCGAGGGACATGCCATCGCCCTTTTCCATCTTGTTCTTAACGCTATTCGTATGATCAGCGATGTAGCCAAGAGATTTAGGGCGTCCAAGCAAAACTCACGTATCGCGGCCGAGCATGGGCCCTATCCGCATGTACCGACCCAACCGCTTCATAACATCATACAACGGCAGACTCTGCCACCACATGTTGTTGTTGACGAGATGCCTCTTGCCCGCCCACTCTGGCTCCTTGCCATACTTGCGCCCGAGCGCCTCGACGTTGCTCCAAATCTTCTTCAGTTGGTAATGGATCTTTGTGATATTCATCGACACCTCGCTGTTCGCCATGACCTCACGGGTCTTTAGACGGTCCGTCGGATCACCTATCCTACCCGTTGCGCCGCCAACCAATGATACGGCTGTGTAGCCGTGGAGGTGCATCCAGAAAAGGGGCATGAAAGGTAAGAGATGGCCGACGTGGAGGGACGCTGCCGTGGGATCGACTCCAACATACGCGCCTATTCGTTTTGTTCGCAGGAGTTCTTTGATCTGTGGTGTACGTCTGGAGTGGTCGGGTCAGCAACTCGCCGTCAGGGGGGCGGCGTAGATGGCGCTGCGAAGGCTTACCCTGCGACGTCCTTGACGTAACCTCGTTCCTCGAAGATGTCCCAGATATTTTGAAGTTCTCCTTGCTCAATAGCCTCAGCACGCTTCGCCCACTCCTCCTCCCCCATCCGGCGCTTCTCCACGACCTTTTGCGATATCCATCTTGGCCGGTTCTGCTGCAATTGAATCACTGGGATCCCGGCGCATCGTCTGCAGATGTTACGCCGCAGCTCGGGCAGGCGGGACGCCAATGTCGACGACATGGCGGATTGTCCGTATGCCTTATATGAAGAATCTTTGATCGTATTAAAACATCGAAAAAGAATGACGAGAAAATCAAAGGTTCAATAGCTGGCTAGTCAGATATCCAGATCAACCCTGCACTCTGCACAGAATGACTGACCCAACGCCATAGCTGTCGCGTACAACTGGACCCTCCCAAACTCCAAAAATTTCCCTTATCGCGATTATGATAAGATTTGGGACGCATCTACGTTGTGCCGATAGCCGGGCTCTGTTCGGTGGAGGAATCACGTGGAGATATCGGAACATAGCCAACCAATCACGTCACTTTGAATGTCAGACGGCCGTGTCTGCAATCCAAATACCTTACGGAGTTAGTCGTATACCCTCGGCTAAGTGGACATCATAGATTCCGGCATTTGGGGTCTCTTTCTCCAGCCTAAATCACCAAAAAACGACTCTGAACCCCCCCTCCCTCTTGACTTCCCCCCAATTGAACCTGCCTCGTGAGCCCCAAAGATCACCATGGCTTCGATTGTGCGACCCTCCCTTCTTCGGCAAACCGCCACGGCGGCTCGCATGGCCCAGACCACCCCGATCCGCTCCGCCTTCGTCAAGAACTCGACAAGAGCTACGGCCTTTCACACCACGACCAAGAGGCAACTGCTGCCCGTCGGACCCCGTACGTGTCTGTTGTTGTCATGTAGTTTCTGAATCAGAATTGCTAACTCAGTGTTTGCAGAGGTCATTGACGGTGGAGGTACGAAAAACACTACGAGTCAAAGTGCGAAAAGAACCTAACCCGTGATTTCTAGTCAACAAGCCCGCCCCCGTCCCTCCCCCAAGCCCCGCTCACGGCTCTTACCACTGGACCTTCGACCGCCTTCTCGCTGCTGGTCTGGTCCCCATTACCATCGCCCCCTTTGCTGCCGGCTCCCTCAACCCGACGACCGACGCTCTCCTTTGCGCCATGATCCTCATCCACTCTCACACCGGCTTCCAGAACATCATCATCGACTACGTGCCTACCAAGCACTACCCCAAGTCGCGCAAGGCTACTATGTGGGGTCTGAACCTGGCTACTGCCCTCGTTGGCCTCGGCCTGTACGAGTTCGAGACCAGCGACGTTGGCGTCACTGAGGCCATCGCACGTCTCTGGAGGGCGTAAGGGTTGTAGGGTTTTCTCGTCATTAGGGGGGAGCTGCCGCTCGGAAAGCACCCTGGTCAAAATGACCCCAAACCGTAGCCCACCACTTATGTCGAGCGGTTGAAAGTGCGCAGCGGGACGCGTGCTATGCTGGGTATCAGAGTTAATAAAGACGCTGGTGTCAGCGTATTGTATGTGTGATTCAGGGGCGCTACGGTTTAGAATTGGAATGGCTAGTGTACAACCACCAGACTAGGCAAAATTGGATTCTTTGTGAATGAACTCGGCTTGGCATGTTATCGTGGTCTTCCTAGACCTTATCTGGTCTGAAGATAGTTGGTTTGGTCTCAGGAGACACTATTAAATCCAATAAGGTGTTGGCTTGAAAAGGGAATTGTTCAATCTCATGAGGCCTTTTCCGTCGGATGCTTTCGACCGCCCAACGGGACAATGGTTTCAGGAAATGCGGGGGGCGACATTCGGGATATACTCAATCATGTGCCGCCACTTTTCTTGCCATTGTCAAGTGAGCAGTTTCAGAACAGAGCGAGATCCACAAGTACAGCTGAGTTTCATCCAAGTAGGTATCTATTAAGGAAATCTGGGTGTCTTGAACATTGGGAGGCAAATACACTACGAGGTCGATAACATGATATGAAATAGATAATATCAATCATACTTGAGCAAGCGACAAACAGCTTAGGCTCCCATTGCTGTAGCCAACCGTCGAGGCCATTCCTACCAGTCTTAGCTCGACAAGGAGAGGCTGGTGATCTCAGAGCCGCCCATACAATCCATCTCGGGTGTCGGCGGTGGCAGGTTCTCGACTTTAATGCATAGGAATGTTGACTTATACATATTAACTCTGTCGATACAGGCTCCGTCGATACGAGCGCCGACTCTCTTGGGAGAGAAGCCATGGGCCTCGAAGACCTTGATGTACCACGGGTTCAGCGCAGACGAGCGGAGAAGCACACGGCCACCCTTCTTGAGGGCGCGGTTGAGCTTCGTAATCTGTGCAGCAGCGGCCGGGGCGCCTGGATCGAACCAGTCCATGCTATCCATGACGACAGCAACGGTCAGTGTACCGGGCATGATACGATTGATGACCTCGTCAATCTCGTCTGTGTGTATGCGCAGGCCGTCAAAGGCGTTGGGGCGGGAGAGCTTGGTGTGGGCCTTCTCCGATAGGTAGTCGGGATGGCAACGCTTGGTGAAATCGCCAGTCATACAAACATGGTAGTATGGATTGTTGACGGCGACATGAGTCTGCTCGGCGACGGGGTCGAGAGTGTCTACCATGTATTGCCAGATGGCATGCGAGCGGACCTTCCGATCCATCGGTCTCGGCCCCTTGGCAGCCTCGCTCTCGGCGTGATCGCTCTCGATCATGGCGAGCTGGTTCTTGGGAACACCGAGAGCGGCCCAGAGGAAGCTTTCCTGACTGACGACAAGGTTGCAAACGAGCTTGGAGAGCAGGGCGGGACGAATCTTATTGCGCCAGACCTCGCGCTGCTCATTGAGGGTCTTTGTCGAAAGGAACTCCTTGACGGCAGCGCGGCAACCAAAGATGCGCGAGATCCAGCGGAAGACGCGGATGGCGTGACGTGAGCCGCCCGTATCGTAGAGCCCATAGCCCTTGGAGTTGGCGAAGACATGAACGTTCTGGAGCCAGTACTGGAACGCACGGCTGGACAGATGAGGGGAGAGCTTCGTGAGGAGCAGCGAACGGAATTCAGGATGCTTACCCTCACCGAACAGCTTCCAGAAGTCCTCGTAGGGAAGGGCAGTGTAGGATGCAACTTTGAGCTCGAGGAGGTGGTTCTGCGTGGGGTTCAGGTCAACCGCGTGGATTCTGGCTGGGCTTTGCATGGCATAAGAGAGGATGTTGTCACCGGCGCTGGTGATGGCCAGCACTACGTCGTCCGAGCCCAGCCTGAGGAGGCGCTCATCCACCTGCGAGTCTTCCCACGTGAAGGCATAGATATACTCGTCGTTGAACTGGGTGTGCTTCTGGAGCTGGTCGTCGTAGTAGATGCGCCAGTGGTGGTTTTGGTAGAAGAACGAAGGCAGTGGCAGGTTCGCAGACAGATTCTGGATCGCTGCCATGAAGGCCTTGGAACGGATCTCGGGCGCCGATCTTTCGACTGCACGGGTAAGGGCATCACCCTGGTTGGCAGGGAATAGGTAAGGAGACTCTGTGGCAAGAGCATCGATCTTCTCAATGATCTCGTGGGGCAGACTTGTAGAGGAGAAGGGCTTCTTGTGACAACCGACCCATACATAGTATGGAATAGTGTAGTTGCGGGCGTTGATGTTGAGAACCGTACCAAACTTATACTCAAGGTAGTCGCGACGACTCGCCTCGAGACCCACTCGGTCTATGTCGAACCATGCGCGCCAAAAGGTTCTCAGAATCCAGTTGACATGGCGTCCGACAAGCCCACCTGTGAAGTTGCGGAAAGAGAAGTCGATCTTGGATTGGACGTAAAAGTCAACCACACCCATTACGCCGTCGGGAGACAAGAGTGAAGTGAGCGAGTCGACGACAGAGTAGTAGTCAGGCTGGTAGGGCTCTGGTTAGCGAGAATCAGTTGAATTGAGGTGGCATATAGTACTTACGATCATGGACAAGCTATACGACATGGTGACGAGATCGGCACCACCGTGCTCAACGCGCTTCTGGGAGAGGTAGCTCAGGGCAGGCGAGCGCGAAGGAATGCGGTTGGTCGGAAGATCATTTTCATAATCCTCGAGGCTGAACTTCCTCGCGTCCTCGCACACAACCTTGACGTTATTCCAGCCAAGACGTTCAAACCGCTGTCGAGCAACTTCGCAGAGAGACGGGGAGAAGTCGACAAGGTATACACTGGAGAAGAACTCGGGAACATTGACGAAGCTAGACATGGCCTCGATGTTCCAACCCGTTCCTCCACCAACCTTCGCCATGTTAGCTGCCGTTCTAAGGTATGAGGATCAGAAGGCCAACTCACATCAACCCAGATCCGCTTGGCCTTGCCGCCCTTGTTGGGGCGGCCATTGGCCTTCAGTTGTGCTGCGACAAGCGCGAGCATGTCCTCTCTGCCTTGCAAGAGAACCTTCCTGGTTGCATCATAAGCGCCGGCTTGCTTCTTGTAGAAGCTCTCAAGGGCATCCTGCTGGTTGCCCTTCTTGTCGCCACTGTGCGGCTTGATGAAACAGGTGTAAAAGAACAGCAAGAAAGACTTCAGGAGGCTCGGGGCCTCGCTGCCGTTCCTTTCCGCATCCTTTGTAGAAAGGATATTGGCAAAGAACAGGCCGCTAAGGGCCACTGCACTCAGTCCAGCAAAAGAAGTTTTGAGGTCGAGGCCGAGGGGTAAAATGTTACCACCAAGAGAAGCCATGGTATTCTCTCATTGCTCTAGGAGTTGAGAATGTGCGTTAAAGCGGTTCCGTGGAATCTTTCCCTGACTTTTTCTTTCTTTTTCAAGTTGAAGTGAACAAAAAGGGTCGATTCGAGGACGCGGAACAGGGAGACCAGAGGGAACCCAGGCGCAACTCGAGCAATTATAGACGTTCCGACCACAACGACTGCATTGTCTTCCCGGGGTCACTCAACCCAAGATCTTGTAGCGTTTACATGACGCATATGGTGGGGACCCGCGGAGTAACAATGTATCAAATACGCGGACTGATTGAGTAGACAATAGGGCATGGCAGGCATGCTGTCATCGTGTGGTAGCTCGCAGTGGTTGAGGAGAGACTCGGACTTGAGGAGACGACGACCCCGGGCGAACGAGGACCCTGAAGAGATAACCCCCACTATTACTCTATTTAGCGTGGAAGCGTGGGTGAGGTAAACACAGGTTGCCCATGCCAGATCCCAGTGGGCCAACTCGTGTCGGCCAATGGCCAGAGCACATGGGCTAACCATCTGGTTGTCAACCGCCTGCGCTGGTTGATGGGAGGGTTTGAGCCAGCGTGCCTTGCGCCAATACTTTGTGAGTCTAAAGGCACGGGAAATCGCAAGACACACCCACGTCCTTCCTTCTTCCGAGTCCATGGAGTAGTGAGGCTTGCTTGCGAGGATCGCCGGTCACATCTTGCTTTGGTCTACCCAAGCTTCCCCACGTTGAAGCTTCAGCGTGTGTATCAGAGGATATACCATGTTAAAGTTGTCTCTCTGTAGGTCGCGTCAACTGCACAAAGGGTGGAACATCCCACATCGCCGACAGGCTTCGGAAGGTCGGCATCAGGAAGCTGTATACCTACGAGTAGACAGGCGTACCTCTCTATACTGGTTCTAGAAGCAGTAGGCATCTCAGGTGTGACCACGCGCTTCCCAAAACTGGCACCGTGGCCTTCCAACGGACCAGTGGTAGCTCGTCCGTTTGAGCTAGGGCAGGCCATTGCAAGTTGCTGCCATGCATAGCACGCAGCGTCGCATACCGGTAACTGCAGAGTGCGAGCTGCCAGGGGTCGGGTCAACCAGACATGATGCCAATGGGAGACAGGACTCGAGGCACATGGCACCCATTGGCAACACCGCGATCACATGAGAGGGTTTCCCATCTTGCTGGTACGAGCAATCCCCGGTGGATCCCTTTGCGGATGATCACCTTGAGGCTAGTCCCGGGGTCCCCTCCTAATCTCCTCTTATGGCCTCTTCGCGTTGAGACTCTATCTATTGGTACTGTAGCCCGAGACGAGTAGACGCAAAAGCCGAGTTGCGTCGATGAGACAGCCACTTGTGCCAAACAACGGACGTTACTGGGGCTCGCGGTTCACTGGCCAAGCCCGAATCCGTCAGAAATGCCAGCATGCTGTAGACCCGCGGAAAAAGTGCCAGGCCATGTCATCGTTTGAAGCCGTTGCAAGCGTGGTGCCGTCGTTGATGACTCTGACCTGTGGTATAGGTAGACTCGGATGCTAAAGCTAAGTGTACATGAGATGATTGAGAAGTCTTGTCCTACTCAGCTGATTCGAATGAAGATTAGATGATAGAAAACTCATGTGGTCATGAAAGTGAACAGGGAGCCTTCCCGGGTCAGTCCGTCGATTTGGCGGGAGAAGGCCATGAATCTATGCTCATCGTTGCGGGTGAGGGTCTCGGACGGGTAAAGGCAGCAATACTTGTAGCGGCCTAGATCTGCGACAGGGCCGCCGATATCTACGAAAAACGCGACGTGTCTCGGATTCAGCAACGAGTTCTTCGTTACTTGTTCAAGACAGTATCTGGTAACGAGTTATTGTCTGA